TGCTTTACCAATCCAAGAGCATGTATCTTGGATATGCTTCCCCTCTATAGAACAACAAAATTTTCTAAATCTTGCTTTACCAATCCAAGAGCATGGAATTCTATTGGCCTTTCGAACACTAAATCCTACCTTTCCAGCATACCTATTATAAAATTCATATGCTTCTTCTATTTTAAACACCATGCCAATCTTCGGGGTCCACTCTTTAGGAACAAGGGAGCATTTTTCCTTGAACCTTTTCTTTATACTTTTATCAAATATCCGTTGGCCTTCAATTTCATGCAATTTAGCAATATTATATTTTCCTTTATTTAGCTCAGTAGGATTTGATAATTCATCTACTTTGGTTGAATCATTTGCCTCAATGTTAGTAATGTCAATATCTTGACATTTGCCCCTAGGGCTGTACACGGGTCAGGTTGGGTCGGTTTACTAGGGTTTTCCCAACCGACCCAACTTGGTCGGGTTACCTAAGGTGGAAATCGAAACCGACCCACTGATAGGCAAAACCGACCTGGTCGGTTTGAGTCGGGTTGGGTCGGTTTGGGTCGGTTTCGGTTTTGCTCCTGTAGTCAAACCTTATTTCTGAAACTTGTCTCACCTTTGGTCCAGTGTCAACCTTACTAACCCCTGTTCAACTCAAAAAACTTTTGTATTCAATAAGACAAAAGACAAAACTGTTTTATAGAAGACAAAAGTTATCAATATTCAATAAGACAAAACTTAGAAGACAAAAGACAAAAATTATCAATATTCAATAAGACAATAAAATAGAAAGTCAAACTGTTTTATAAAAAGAAGGCTGAAACATTTATATTTAAAGAAACTTTCTAAATTCTAATCTAAGTAAAAGAGGACACTTAATTCTAATTGTAATTGACTAATGGGTTGCCTATTTGGTGTAAAAGACTATAGAAACTAGGATAWATACARTTTAGTTAAGTAGGAACTAGAAGATAGGGCTGTTCTAGTTCTAGTAGAAGACTAGTTAAGTAGGAAACTAGGAACTACCGAACTAGTAGAAGACTAGTTAAGTAGGAAGATTAGTTCGGTTCGGTTTTTATAAATTTGCCCAACCCGAAACCGACCGGTGCTGATGAAAACCCGACCGACTCGGGTTGGGTCGGTCCGGGTTGGTCGGTTTGGTCGAGTTGGGCCTTCTTATGAACAACCCTATTTGCCCCCATCTAACTAAAAAATCAGCCTACACTTGGAGTGAGGACCAACCTCCATATTCCTTTTGACTATTCTGTCAAACATGACAAAAATATTTTACCTACTTATTAAACACATAAAAATGGAAAGAAAGCATCAATTAATTAACAAAAAGAAAGTAAATTATAATAATAAGAAATATCATATAATATAGGCTACTAAGGGAATACTTTTTCTTGAACATTTTGTTTGAAAATTATAAATTCAAGTACACAGTTTAATAAGTTTGATATAAAGTAAAAATTGGTTTTATCTTCATGTTAGATACATTGAGATAGAGGTGTAAAACAGGCTGTGTTGGGCCAGCACGACACAACCCACGGGTGGCTTGTGGGCCATCTTGGGCCGTGCTACCCTCCCCTAGGATAACTTGGGGGGTTGACCTGGCACGACCCACTGGGCCAAAGCTATTTTTGCCTATTTTTTTAAAAATTGGAAAAACTTAAAATTTTAATTTATATGAATTTTGATGTATACAATTGTTTATATATAAATAATTAAATAAATTAGTATAATAAAATAGAAAATAATTATTTATTTTATTAATATATCATTATAAAATTATAATTTACATTATATATTATATATTATATATAAATATATAAATAATATATATGGGTCATGTCGGGTCGGGGCGGTGGGCTGGGCCATGCTGGCACGCAGGCTACAGAAGGCACAACCCGCTCGGTCATGCCATTCTGGCCCAGCCCGTGGACCTAAAACACCAAGCCCAGCATGGTACAGACCATCATGTCGGAATTGGCACGACCTGCATGCCATCGTGTCGTGTCGTGCCAATCCAAACTCGACCCGATTTACACCTCTACGTTGAGAACGAATGCCAAATTAGGGAATTCAGTCTAGGCTACTATGGGAATGTTTTTTCTTGAACAATTTTTTTAAAATTATAAATTCAAGTACATAGTTTAATAAGTATGATATAAAGTAAAAATTGATTTTATCTTTATGTCAGATATGTTGAAATAGAGGTGTAAAATGGGCTGTGTTGGGCCAGAACGATACAACTTGTAGGCGGTCTGTGGTCCATCTTGGGTCATGCCACCCTCACCTAGGATAACTTGGGGGGTAGGCCCGGCACGGCCCACCAGGCCAAAGCTATTTTTGCCTAATTATTTAAAAAATTGAAATATGAATTTTGATGTATACAATTGCTTATATATACAATAATTAAATAGATTAGTATAATAAAATCGAAAATAATTGTTTATTTTATTAATATATTATTATACAATTATAATTTATAATATATATAAATATATTATATATAAATAATATATATGGGTTGTGCCGGCACGCGGGCTTCAGAAGGCATGACCCACTCGATCATGCCGTGCCAGCCCGACCCGCGACCCTAAAACCCCAAGCCTAGCACAACACGGACCATCTGTGCGGGCCTGACACGACCCGCGTGCCAGCGTGTCGTGTCATGCCAAGCTGGTCCAAACTCGGCCTGATTTACATCTCTACGTTGAGGAAGAATGGCAAATTAGAGAATTAAGTCTAGGCATAAGAAATACTCTTTAAAATTGTAACATGTAATGCTTTATTATATATTAATTCTCTAAAATTAGAGTATTCACCAAAAATAAAAAGCTTTTAAGTAAATTACTAGTTTTTGCATAAATTGTTTATTTTATGATATAATTAGCATAGAAGAATTTTAATGCCTATGGTATATTTGTCTTGTCATTTTTGTTTATTGAGAAAGACATAAACTATTATAGTTCAGACAAAAAAGACATAATTAATTCTGACAAAAAGACATGAATCAATTTTCTAGGAATATGCATAAACTATTCTGACGAATTGATAGAGTTAATACAGGTGTTTCTACTTACAAATTTATGATAATCTGTGTAGTTCTCTTGCCCTTTTTGCACCCTAAAAAGCAATGCCTGTAGCAGAAGTTCAGAACCTTCTTTATAATTGCAAATACAGCGAATGGGAAAGAAGATGAGTTCAATGAGAGATAAACCCTCTTTATAATTGCAAACCCTCTTTATAATTGAAAGTCAGAATTGGAAAGAGAAACGTAAACGACAGAAAGTTGGAGAGAAAGACGCTGGGACAGGTTTTCCTTTTTTGTTGTTTTTTTTATTTTTAATTATTTTGATACAAATAATAAAATAATAGGTAATTCTGAAACGGCACAAAAATGTTAAGATAGAAGGAGCATTAGCTGGGACAGGTGTCACACAGCTACTAGGTGCTCACTCATAGTGCATACCTAACAAGCCTACTACATCCGGACCCAACTAAAATAGGTCATGAGGGTTGGATCTAGCTAGCATTGAATGGTTTGAACTCTTCCCAAATGCAAAACTATTTGCTTTCCCAACCATCAACTCAGACCATATATAGTTCAATTCTACTAGACTCCAACCCTGCCTATGAAAAGAAAACAAAATCTTTTCACTTTCTCCCAACGTGGTTTGACCATCAAGACTGTGAAGAGCTAATAAAAAAGGAGCAGGAAAGAAGGTTAAATGGATCAATAGCCTACAATATAACATGTAAATTAAAAGAGATCAGATGGAAGTTGTCAAAATGGAATAAAGACAGTTTTGGAAATATCAACTTCAAGTTGAAGGAATTGGAGGAGCGGATATCAACATTGCAACAAGGAGGGGGTCCAAGCCTCAAACCTGAAGAAACTCCAAGAGGAATACAATAAGTGGCTTTTTTATGAAAACAATTGTGGCATTTGAAGTCAAGAGAACTATGGCTGAAAAAAAAAGGAGATAAAAACACAATTTTTTTCCCATTATCAAGTGAAATTCAAAAGATGGACTAGTATGGACTGGCTAAAGAAAAATGGTATCTGGGTCAATGAAACAAAAGAAATAGTGGATAACTTCAAACAAATGATCCTTGGCATTAGTGGGGAAGATGAAGAGAGGGATTACACTGATTGAAGAGCTTATTCAACCTGTTCTCTCAATGAGGAGCAATAAACCCTCTTTGAAATGAATCCCCATAAAGCACTAGGACCAGATGGCTTTACAACTTTCTTCTATCAAAAGTATTGGCATGTTCTAGGAAAAGTTAGTCCCTCCACAAAGTTACATAAAATCATTGGAAAATAGGTTGAGACCCCTCATCCCAAAGCTAATTTCATCTAACCAAGGAACTAATGTAAAAGGCCAACATATAACTAATAACATCACTATCACAAAGGAAGTGGTTCACAAACTAAAAAATCAGAAAGGAAAACAGAGGTGGGCGGCTCTAAAAATTGATATGGCAAAAGCTTTTGACCAAGTAAGTGTCCTATATCCTACTATCTTAAAGTGCATGGGTTTCCCACAACATTGGTTTTTTCTAATACAACAATGCATTACCACAACATTTATCTCAATAAAACTCAATGGGTTAACTTATGAACACTTCAAAGTCAAGAGAGGGCTTAGATAAGGAGATCCTCTCTCTCCTTATCTATTTATCGTAAGAATGCTTACTTCAATTCTGAACATATCAGAAACACTCTAATAGATCCAGGGACTAGCAAAGGAAACAAGCTCCCTCACTCATTTACTCTTTGTTGATGATTGTCTAGTCTTCTACAAGGCAGCCCCCACTTCATTTAAAGCCCTACAGTCCGCCTTAAAGCAATTTCAAGAATTCTCTGGTCAAAAAGATAAACTACTCCAAATTAGGTATTCTTTTCAACAAGAATTTTCATAGATCTCATCAAAAACTTTTATGAATAATCTTGAGGATAAACATTATGAACACAAATTTGAAGTACCCGGGTGCCTAGTTGACAGAGAACAAAAACGAAAGCAAAACTCAGAAAGATCTAATAGAAAGGGTTGAGAAAAGAATGAACCCTTAGCAGAGTTCCTCTAACAAGCTAATAGGACCACACTAGTAAGCTTAATTTGCCAAAGCATTCCCTCGTACACAATGCTCTCATCACTATCACTAAGGTGAGCATTCGGTTCATTCAGTTAAAAACCGAACCGAATAAACCGAATTTTAAAAAATGAACTTATAAAATATAAAACTGAATTGAAACCGAATTATTAAAAAACCAAAAAGATTGAAACCGAATTTTTCGGTTTGGCTTTCAGTTATTTTGGTTAAAACCGAATTTTATTAATATTATATTAATACATATTATATATTAATATATTTATGTATATTTGATGAGGCAAAAAAAAGTGTGAATGTATTCTGTTTTGCATGTTTTTTGTAGTGGGATCCCAAATTGTTGTCTTTGGATAGCTTTGTTGACAGTTTGGGACCAAGGGTATTTTCACGATTTTATAAGTCAGATTTTTGGTCAGGGGTAGTTGGGTGCATTTCTGTTGGGTTTTGGTCTTTTGGGTCTTTTTGTAACAAAAATTATCTTTCGAGGGCTTATTTGAAGTTAGTTTTGTTCTTAAGGTGTTGCTTGTGAGAGGGAAACATTATAGGGACATATGTGTAAATATTTTAGCTGGCTTGTCTAGAAAGCCAGTGGGTCTTATAAAAGAGATGGGGGTTGTTTCTATAGGGGTCCTTTGGTTTTTTCTCTCTTGTTTGAGCTATAGCTCAGCCCTAGCTAGGGTTTTCAAGCATTGGGAGCTTGGGTTTTGAGGAGTCGACCCATTTTGGCACCTTCCAATCCCTTCATCATTGCGTGTCCATGCGGGAGTCCAACTTGTTGCCATTGTTACTATAGTAAAACTGTTCCAGGAGGAGTTTTACTTCAGGTTAAAGTTTGAAATCCCTAAAAATCCAACTTATTTTGTTGTTTTCAGCTTGGTATTTCTTGTGCTTATTGCTATATACTTGAGGAACTACATGTAATTTGTCTTTCTGTCCACATCAAGTGGTATCAGAGCATATTCTTTCCTTGGTTTTGCTTCAAAGTTCATTCATTCTTGTGTTTTTTCTATATTATCATGGTTGCAAGGGGTGGAAGACCACATCATGGTTGCAAGGGGTAGAAGACCACATCATGTTACTGTAGAGGTTTTCCAAGAGACTATAAGAGGACTGCAAGAACAAATTGAACATCTTGCTCAACTTGTAGCTTAAAATGCTGCTAGGGATGGTGATGTAGCAAATGATTTGGGGCTAGGAAGAAGAAGACAAGCTCCAAGAGTTGGTGAACAATTTGAAAGGAGGGAGAAATCCATCGTATGGACGCCAAGAAAACAACGGAATAGGTGGGCGAATTACAAAAATTTTTCTCCCTTCAATTAACTAAGAATCATATTCTCTTATTTTAGAATCAATTATTCAAGGACCTACTCGAACCAAACCAAACTAGATCTGAACCAAAGATCAAGGGAAGGGTTATACCTGATACGGAGAATCAAGATCTCCCAACGTCGGTGTTCATGCCAAAAGAGAGGTCCAAGATCCGCTCCCGCTGAAGATGATATAGCGACGGTGGAGCAGAACCAACAGTGTGCATCCTATGCACCGAACTCTTTGCAAGAATCCGATGGAAGCTTAGAGCACCGAACCAAATCAGTCTTTCAGCAATGACTGATGTCAAGAACTAGCTTCTTGATCGTCCCTTCAGAGGAGTTCGAACCAAGCGGTAAGGTGGCGGCGGCTGAAGGAGTTCCTACGGCTGAAAGTGGTGTGGATGCAGATTTTCAGCTTAGGAAGATGAGATCCTATCTCAAACTTGCAGGGTAATTCACTGCCAAACCCTAAGTCGAATTCTTGTAATTCAAGATTAGGGTTTCCTCCTTTCTTAGTGATTAAGAAACCTCCTAATCCTATTAGGAGTTATCCCAATCCAAATCAGCATTAGGATATGGGATAATCTTAATCCTATCTGCAGATTAAGTCAGTCCACTCTTGATCTTATCAGGAGGTTACTAGATTCAAATCACATTTGAATTTGGTCTCCAAGAGTAGATAGGGTTGGAACCCTAATCCTTTAGCTAACCCTAATCCCAGATACGCCCCCTTAAGTGGGTGATCATATAAGCATAGGTCGAAATGGGTTTTAAGCCCAATAAGTAATCAGTGCTCAATAAGTTTCCAAACTGCTGCCCAGTTGGGTTTCTTTGTATGGCGTTGGACCCAAGCATTGATCTACACATCAACCACATGGGTTCAGCCCAGCCTTTGTTACAAGGCCTAGCCGAATTCACTAGAAGGCCCAGTGAACCCCTTGAGCCCATCACATGGGCTCTATGGGCCTAACACTTACAATAAGTGGTCCCTGGGCCAAGCCATCTTATAAAAACCCAGGGACTGTGGGCAGATGCAAGATTAGCCCATCAGGTATTACCCTCAATGGTCTTACACTTAAYCTCTCARCCYATAATGATCAAACACTGCCCGACAAGAGAGGACCTCTCCCTTGGCTGCAAGGAA